TTGATTTATTAATTATGGATTTTATTTATACAGTATTAAATTCTGGTACAGTTTATCCTAGTTTAATTAAGTTATTTGAAATGAATGTCCAATAAATAGGTGTTTATGATCGTACCACTCTTGTTTTTTTATTATTTTATTTCGATTTTTATGTATCAGTTGATTTGTATTTATTTGAGTAACTTATAAGGTCATTTGGTCGTTCACTAATTGTGATATTTTTATAATTCTGAAAATGATCATTCGTTTTAATTTGATCTAATTTTAAGGTAAATCATGATTGTATTCCAAATTACCTTGTAATAATCATACGATTATAAGTTCACCAGCATGTTTATAACAACAGCATTTAAAGTGAAAAAATATATGGTACTAACAATCCCACATATATTAGGGAAATATCCATGAATACATTCTTCAAAGTAATTTATTTTTTTACACAGAATGAAGAGAAATATGGACCGTATCATCCTTAGAGTTTAATAGATTTGCACACTTCTATTTCCTTTAATGTTATTCAAGGATTTATCTTTAAAATTACACATTTTGGTTTGACAAGTGAAATCTAAATCCTCATTTTAATCTTGAAAAGATGGGATAGTTGGAGATACTGACTATCCATGGAAAGCACCACATTAAGACTATACTCCGATAAAGTCAGTAATGAAAATTCGCCTATTAACCCGACAGCGCCTTTTCATTCACTCTCTGATTCAGCTTTCCAGTATTGTTGGACCTCATACAAAAACTAGCTTGATTTAAAGAGGAAATTGTACTTGTAAAAAACTTCAAGTAAACCAAACATTTTTCTCGGCAATCTAGGCTAAGGTTTTTCCATGGTAATATAATCAAATATCAAAGTTATAGAACATAAATATATGGTTCATCGTTAACTATACACTAAAGAAGTCATCTAGTCATGTTCAAAATGTTGTTAATTGGATGTCGCAGTGCGTATGCATCATTTGGTGTGAAAGGTGGAGAAATTGTGATGAATGAATATCTGATGTGAGAAAATTAATTGACCATATATCTCCTCTGGTTATGACTGTTCATAGATTCAGACAATTCGATAGATATTATGGATCAAACGTGTCACAGTATGCATAACATGGGAATAAATAAACAAATAAAAGTAAGTTTGTGTCAAGCAAGCTGTTTGTTCATCGTATATTCAGACGAATTAACTGATTAGAATAAATGGAAGTACATCTTTGCTATCGGTACAATAATAGACGAATTAGAAGCAATAAAGTATGAAACGAAATACAGAATTACTTATTAATTACTAATTGCTATGAGATAACTGGTTGTATCCCATCTCTACTATTTATGTTGTTTGAGTTTGTTTATGTGTAAAGCTTCAACTGTTAATCTCTTTGAATGAAAAAAACATTTTTGAAGAATTCATATGCTGTTGGAGTTAAGTGTATGCCCAGACTCTTCTAATTTATATGGTACCACCAACCTGTTTCCTAGCGTGAGGTCTTCTGACGATTGAAGAATGTGCTTTAAGCGAAGTTTGTGCTCTTTCATCCTTACATTCGACTGTCGTGATGTCTCACCTATGTATACAACATTTCATTTGATCTCCTAGACACAATTCTGCTGTTATCCTTGAGGTATTGCGCCTTCCTTCCAAAGTTTCTTAGAGATATGGAATCACCGCCATGTGAACCCATCCTTTTGGTTTTTCTTTCCCATTATCTTCTTGACTTTTGTCCTTAATCATTTTTTTTACAAAGTTACTACCGTAATCGTTCATCATTAAAATGAACATAAACAAACTCAACTAAGATTACTTGTTATTCGGTTTGATATATATATATATATATATATATATATATATATATATATATATATATATATATATATATATATATATATATATATATATATCGAAACAACAAAAGGAAGAACCGTGTTCACAATAGCAGTGGAAAACTAAAACAATTCTGAAGTGAACAATAGAGAATGATGCAACATTGAAGTAAAAGTGTGTATATATTAGCTAGTAACTTAGCTTGGACCTCACTTTTGTCATTAGTAATTTGTTATGATTTTCCTACAAACACTGGCTAGAAAACATGCAAATCCTGATTTGAATCAGTAAAGTTATTGAAGACTTCATGAACTGATTATAATTTTAATCCGTGTTGTTGGATCTTTTCCAATCTACTTTCACACCGGCCTGTGTGACAGTATGTGATGAGGGTAATAATCTCGTGAAACAACCAATCATTTTTCTTTATGCCTGAGACTATTGCTAACTCATTAATTCTGTCGATAAGTCATCAGTTCTTTAGAGAAACCTATGAATTGCCTATAGCAGGCATCGTATCACACCATGACTTTAAACGGGCAAGAGAGATAAGAGATTCAAAACCAAACTGATACATTTACAGATTTCTGGTCCCAAAAATTTAGCTTTTTATTATTTTTACCAACTGAATAGTTATTAGATACTGAACATTTACCTAGTTGTTGTAACTAAAGTAGTCGTTATAATATTACAATACTATCTGGTTTGTCATGCATCAGATACTTGCGTAACATCCAAATGTCAAATCATATTAAGCTTTTGCTAATCCGTAATCATTGCTAACTAATTCAGTCCTGTATGATAGAAATGTAAGTCGAGATATACTTAGCCCTTTCCGACAAGCAGGAACAAGTTGATTTATAAAAGGCTGAGGTATATCCATCAGATAATAATTATAAATGCTATCTACGTGTGAGATTTACAACCCAACAGTTGAGGTCTGACTATTTAGACCAGCAAGCCGAATATGTGTCAGATAATATACAAACACATTTACTCAATTCAGCATAGTAGTTTGATAATAGTTATGTTTTAAATAAAAATAATATATTTGTAATATCACATTTTCTACTCATTGGGATATTACAAATATATTATTTTTATTTATAACAATGAACCCAATGCTCAATTTATTCGAAATTATCAAATCAAACCTTGGTAATGACACCTACAATAGTTATGTTTATTCTCACAAAACAAATAACCACATAAGATATTCGAGGTTAATTTTATGAAAGAACTAGAGAGTGCACTAACGTCATGGAATGAGTCGATAGTTGTCCCCATCTTTAAAAAGGGTTCACGTCGTTCCCGTAACAACTATCGGGGGATAAGTCTACTTCCGATTGCGTTCAATCTATTGGCTTCCGTCGTACTTCGTAGGTTGTTCAAAACCCGAGAAGGATTGACTCGCGAGGAGCAGGCTGGGTTTCGTCCTGGTCGAGGATGTATTGATCAATCTTCACCCTCCGCCAGATGTTAGAACACCGCCATACTTATCAAAGGCCAGCAATCGTAGTGTTTCTCGACATTAGGGCTGCCTTCGATTCGTTGGATAGGACTGTTCTCTGGGATTGTCTATTGAATAAGGGTGTGCCTGAGAAGTTTATTAACATCCTAAAGGCCTTATATACAAACACCTCAGTCAGAGTGAGGGCATACAACCACCTCTTTCCATTGTTCCATTCGAGCAGTGGGGTTAGACAGGGTTGCCCAATCTCACCATTCCTCTTCAACTTTGCAATCGATAACATTCTGGAAACAGCTCTGATGGATATAAGTAATGGCGGTGTGGATCTGTTGCCTGGAGAAAAACTTCTTGACCTTGAGTATGTGGATGATATTGTCTTACTGTGCGATAACGCCCAAGCCATGCAATCTGCACTTAATCAGTTGGCAATCAATGTCCGTAGGTACGGTATGTGCCTTGCACCTTCGAAGTGTAAAGTACTTCTACAAGACTAGTGGGATTCTAATACTGTACTCACCCTGGATGGTGAGCAGATAGAAGTAGTCGAGAAGTTCGTGTATCTAGGTAGCTGCATAAGTGCTGGTGGGGGTGTGAGTGATGAGATCAATGCACGTATAGTGAAAGTCAGAGCGACTAATGCCAATCTGGGCCATCATTGGCACCTTCGTGATGTTAGTCTGGCTGTAAAAGGTCGGATCTACAACGCGTCGGTGAGAGTAATTTTGCTCTATGCTCGTGAAACCTGTCCTCTCCGAGTTGAGGATGTTAGACGACTCTCTGTGTTTGATCACCGTTATCTCCGAAGGATTGCTGACATCCAGTGGCAACACCATGTTAGTAATGCAGAAGTTCGGGCACAGAGACAATAATCCAGTTGGTGTCACCATCTTGAAACACCGACTTCGGTGGCTTGGATATTTTTTACGAATGTCGTCCCAGAGAATTCCACCTCGTGCATTATTTACCGACTCTGGGACTGGTTGGAAAAAGCGGAGAGGTGGTCAGTATATGACATGGTGTCGTGGTATGAAAGAAAGCTGCAAAGGGCTGGCTTGTGTTGGTCCTTCACGACTCCCTGGCTGAGGTCCGATAGATGGTGCTATACAATAGCTAGAGACGCTATCATATATGGCTCAGAACAGAAGCCAGTGGCGATCCTGCTGTAACCTTCTTTTACTTTATTCGTAAGAAGTGGTTGCTTCTTCCTTAACTGAAAGATTTCTTCTGGTTGTACATTCCCGTTCCCCCATTATTACTATTATTATTACACTACCTTACACAAATCTGTTCATTATTGTTCTTTTTCTTTTACGCTCCTTACCCTTTTTTTCTTGTCTTTAAATTCTCATTGTTTTGTGTGGCGCATATATATTTGGTGCCCTCGTGTACCAATATTTATGTGTTCAAATAAATAAATAAATAAAACAGCTGAAAAACCATGGAAAACTAAAAAAAACATTGGGTTGCTGTTTCGTTCTAACTGTAACTCAGTTTTTTAAAAGTATTATACTTTCTACGAAACCTAAATGCTCTGGGTTTGGTTTTACGTGGAATTATGGATGCATAGTGTCAATAAAACGTGAATTAGATCGATTCAGACAGTCTCTGGTACTCCAGTTGATGTCAAACTATTTTAATATAAAAGGAAAACCTATACAACCCCTTCAAACTTAAACATAATCCCTTAATACTAATTAAAACAAGAACTTTGTAATAAAATACCGTAATAATAGAAATAAATTATGAGGACCTAAAAACAATAAAGAAAACATATTTTCTATTATCCTGATTTTGTTCACATTAAAACAAAAATATTGTTCAAGTTTGGGTATATCCATATGACATTTGATACATTCAGGACCATGTATCTTATACTTTGCAGTCTATCTTGACCACCATCCCATATTGTAACAAATAATTCGGTGGAAATTGAATGAAATGAGAATCTTATTACAGTAAATAAGTAAATAATAAAGTGAAGAAAATAACTAACAACAGTTTAATGTTTTAGTTGTATTAGCACCAACAATTCGATGAATAATATCAATAAAACGTGGATCTCCCATAATATTTACATGTTCAGCCCCAGGTAAAATGAAATATTTTATACCAGGCCAACGTTTACAGACTTCTAAACTACGTAGACTAACAGTTCCATCACCGTTCCCAGGAATCAACGCCGGTACTTGATCTGGAAATCCACTATGAAAGAAGTTGGGCGGTGAATAAACCATTTTGTCAGTGGTACTCAAATTTGATCCATGAATACAATAGATTTCATCAATATCACTTGGTTTTTCGAATGTATCGATTATAGATTTACTGTCCAACATCATCTGGAAACCTAAGGATAAAAATGTATAAGTGTGCAAAATAGTGTGACGATTTTAAGTAAAATAATTCTTTAAAAGTTTGCTCCATAAAAGTTTCTTTTGAGGATGTGAAATCCCCAAATAATACATTTAAGAAACCGGTTTTAAAATCCTCAAGTTGATTGAAAAGGAATTTTATTTATTGACTCTCAGTGTTTTTGTTCGATTTCGATTTGTTCAAAATGAAGTTAATTTGATGTATTTAAAATGTAAATTCATTGTCTTAAATAACGTACTGTGATTTATATTCAGTGAAAACTATTCCGTTCATAAATTTCAAACATTTTGTTGAGATATAACTGCCTTTTTCTTCGAAACATAATTACATTTCGCCAAGCCCCGTTTTGATTTGGAGATCGATTGAATGAAGTGGTGGCCGAAGAAACAAACACAGTAGTTTAGAAAATGTTTTTTGAGGAAATTAAGATAATCTCTACACTTACATGTCATAACAACTTACAACAATAGCAATAAAATTAATTCATTAACTTAATTAGATAGTTACTTCTTGTCGGTACACTACTGGAATCAACTTTTCGAATTTATAAATTTTCGCATGCAGACCTGCCCAGATATTTAAAGAAGGCTAAATAAGTTACTGAATGAACTTTACTGACTACTACGACAACTATTAATAACATCTTCAGCTAAGATTTAATACAAATTAAAACAGGTGAAGAGGCAGATAAAAACGATGAAATCATTTGAAAATATTTCGTGACGTATTATGTGGCACTAACATTCTGTGACTTCTACTAGTTTTGGGATTTAGTCATTCATAAACAACATATGGCTAGCGAAAAGTGTACATCAGACTAAAATCCCACACTAAACGTCAGTACAGAGAAAAAAAAGTGACTACATGAAGAGCAAATGAATGAAAAACACTGTATAAGTAATTGTAAAAAACAAAAGATAACACCAGAAAATACAGAATAAATGCATCAGCGCTAGTGCAACGGATTCTGAGCTGCATCAATTAAGGTTTCTCAACACAGATCCTGATTATTATCTTGAAAACTCACTCTAAAAATCAACTTTTCACATATTGTTCACATCAGCAGTATTTGATATGGTTTTAACATCTGCGAGATTTAGGTTTTAATATTTAGTTTGCCCAAAAAAATCATCAACACCTTTTTTGGTGGTTGTAAACAACAGATTTCTTTGATGTCTTAATTTGGTGGATAATCAAACCACCACTCAGTGAAAGTCTACGAAGAGCGGAAACAATGAAGGATAATTATTTGGAATAAACATCTTTATTATTTCCTTCGGTTCAGTCAGTTTTAGCTTCACAACCATTTACTAAAAAGAAGCAGTACGTGATCAAACGACGTGGATAATAATAACACCCTAGAATAACGATACATAAGGGTAGAAACCATTTTTGTATCTTGTCTACATAACATATTCCAGATCCGTTGGCTGGATACCATCAACAACAATTTACTGTCAGAGAACAAACCAACTTTCAGCTCATGATGAAATTAGAAAAAGACGTTGGAAGTACATTGCGGATATCCTCAAACTGCATCTCGAGGCAAGCCCTAACTTGAAATCCTGAAGGCAAAAGGAAAATAAGATCAAAGAAAATATTGCGGCGAGAATCGGAGGCATACATCTAAAGAATGAACAGTACTTGAAAAAAGCTGGAAAGAAGAGCCCAGGACAGAGATGGTTGGATAATCCTAGTTGATGGCCTGTGATCCATGAGCAGCAACCGGCGCAAGAAGTAAGAATAAAGATAATCTTTCAATAATACATCTAGTTGTTAAAGTGGTTGCAAATTACCTTAATACTCGATTTAGTATGTATTAAGATTGGTTCAACTTGATAATGATTTACACTACAGCTCAACATAAACTGAATCATTAATCGAAAACACACAGCAGTTGATAACTGACTTATCCTAATATACGGCATTTTAGTAGTACGCACATAAATTAAAGACGTTATACACGACGCTACTCAATTACTGACTTGAAATCTAATGACTTGGGTTTTCCAATGTTAGTAAATTCTTAATAAAAAAAAGATAACAAGTTAAGAGTCAGTCAGTAGTCAAGTTAAAATGAATAGACTGAATGTACAATATTCATTTGCTCACCGATTGAATAATTGACATCATGGAAGAAACGTTCGTAGTCATGAGCAGAATAGTTTGTTGTTGGCGTTATAATAAGGGGTTCCTTTGGTGACCACAAACGAGAATCCGGGAGGAGAAAAGCAAGAGAAGGTAGCGTGCGCTGAACAGGGCGGAAACTAAGTGGACTGCGTAAAAACACACCAAAGTTATCTCCTACAAAAATAGCAGCACATCTAAACAACGTTTAAAAATGACAGTTTTATTGTAAAAAGTACTTAGAATTTATTGTATTTGTTTATTTTAACACATAGATATTGGTACAAAGAGGCACCAAATACACACAAATTTCATTCGATATTTGTGAGGGCTGTGATACTGCCCGGGTGCCCGAACCGAAGCAGGTACTTACATTACCTATATATTCCAGAAAATAGTTGCAAACGTGGTTCACCAGAAAATATCAAACAGTTGCATGAGATTATTCACTAAAGATACATTATACTGACAGCTATAAATACGACTCGGTGACTAAAATAGAAGCGTTTCCCATATAATGGGTGGATTTCTTATTCTCACTGATAAATCCTGGTAATAAGGCTGGTAAAACTCCCCTGGCTGTTTGCTTCCTATGACATTACCACTGATAGAATATTGGATAAGGCTTCACAGCGTGACTGCACTGTAATGCCTTTATTTCAAGTATAAAGATCTAATCCTCGGCAAATATCGGAATAACAAACTTGATATCTTTAAAACATCATGTTACCTGATGCTTCAAGATATCAATATCATTCAATTACAAACTAAACCCAGGATATCAGAATCTGCTACAGCATACGCAGATTTGCTGGCAGTAACTACGAAGATTGCATACTCAAACAGCTGTGTCGTTTGATGCGACTCGAATAAGTAACATTCATATGAGAAGTCCGGGAATTATATCATCACTTTAGTTACAAACCAACAGCAACAACAATAATATATTGCGACAGGAAAAGTAAATATGAGACTTTAGATGCCTTTTATAAAACTGATATCCGTGAAATGTGTTAGTATACAATCAAAAAATACAGAATCGCAGGCTAAAAACCTTAGTTTAGTTTGTGAAGTAATAAAATAGATGTATGAATGAGTAGTCTGACAATGAAGATCAGAAGAAAGATAGCAAATTGCGGACAAATGTGCAGTACAACTGGTCCTACTTCACCGGCAGTGGAAATTGGTGAGAACCACGTGAACTTTTAGTAGTTGTATGGAGATTTTATTAACCATCAACCGGGTGTGATGAGTCTTTCAATATAAGCGTAGTGGTCAGCAAAATTACTCACTTTGCTGTCTATGGTTAGTCTAGGTAATGGAGCGGATGAAATCTAAAGTAACATTTTTCCTTTACAAATAGAAATGGAAATACTTTTGTATTGTTACTTATTGTGTTAATAAGACTATATTTTATCGGAATATTCAAACAAGAGCGTTATCTACCAACTAGGTTCATTAATGATTCATTAGACAAGTTAAGTATTGCCGGAAATTCATTTTATAAATAAGACTACAAAAAATTGAGAATTTTGAAAAATGAACAGCTCTAACAGGTAGGACCAGTTGGTTGACAAAAATGGTGAGAAATTTAAGTGATAGTTCCGCACTAAGTAATGGTGAGCAGATATGTACATCCTGGATAATAATCCATCGTAGTTCGAGTTAATGGTCTCTTTTTGTATTATAAGTGGAGTTGTATGCTAAAATTTTAAGTAAGACAAAAAAGCAATAAAGGCTGACACATTTGAACAAATATAATCGAATAACATAACGTACCACTTGCTTCGATTTTAAGAGCCTTTACTGAACCACCAAGAGGTGCACTGAGTGAGACAAAGGTTTTGACGTATTTGTTCTTCCAGCTTTTTTTCATTGACTTTAAGAAGTACATACCGTATTTAGCCCCCAAACTATGGCCAAGCAAAACAACAGACCGGTTTCCACCATTTTGATAAGTTTCCTCAATCAGGTGCATAAGTTTGTCATTAAAGCCCTCGTTTTCATCTGGAGAGAAAGCTAATTTATAAGCGTTAAACTAACTTGGAGCTTTACGGAAATCGAAGGGTGCACCGCGAATAGTCCAGTTGGATACAAAGAAAGGATCACGGCGCAATGACTCAATCATCGGACCACAATATTCAGTTCTGCTATGTCTATAACTATCCAAATTTTCAATAGACCACGTTTCACCCCAACCTGGGAAATATACGTCTGCGCTATCAGGATCTCTAGACTTTCTGGTGACTGGATCATAAACTAAGCTGAGACCCAATAAATCAAACAATTGTGAACCTTACCCGAAGTATTCATTTAGTTTTCCCGGTTCGAGGAAGTAACGTAGGTCTATCCATACTAAAAAAGGAGGTGACGTTGAGTTCTTTAGCTTGCTATACGCCTGACACCCTCCATCACCTGGGATTATTACAATTGGGTACTTTTCCGACTGGATATAAGCCCCAAAAGTAACAACGAAGAAGCAAATCTTGTACTAATAGTGAGAAAACGGAGTGCTTACAATAAATGTCCAAGGTAAGTGCCTCATACGATTATCATAACAAAAATATCACCTGATTTGCGCCGCGAACAACCTGAAGGACAATCACAAGCGCCAACTACAAATCTAAAGCGTTGCAGAGTTCAATAAGAGATGTGTTTCAAGTAATTCAAGTCAATTTCACGTCATTTTAGTGAATATCTGCCTAAGACTGGGTCATGATTTTCATTGAAGTCCATTTTGAACAACTGAAGTCAGTGATTGGCAACTTATCAGTTTGTTAAATGTTCATAATGGCCTGACTGGTCTGTTCTGGGGGCTGCAATTAAACGCAACTCAATTTCGTAAATGTGCCCTTCAGCTTAGCAACCAATCAGAATGTGGCGGGAATTATTATATCAGCCATCTTTGTACGTAATGGCGGTCGGCTATCTTCGCTCTGTGCTTCTTTTAGCTATTTCTTTTGTGTAGCTATGTAATTAATGTTTCAATGTGCTAAGATGCCGCAGTTAGTGTAATGTTCTACATGTTGGTGTGAAATTTACTTCGAATCAGCATTGTTTTTTGGGTTTTTGCTGCTTCTACTTTAGTCAATGTATTTCTTCAGTCAAGCTGGTTAGTCTTATGTTTTAAAATGAAGATCGGTTTTGTTTTGACTTGTTTTCTAGATATCCAAAGCCGAAGTTCGTTTTTTCTTAGCTGAAATAACTGTTGCTGCCTCCTGTGACTAACTGTCCGCGTGTTCATTCCTAACTGTCCTTTATGATGTTATCGGCAAAATGAAAGGGAACAATTTCCGGTTTTTAATTTTCTTCAGTATTGCGGACAACAATATCCCACCAACGAGTCAAACTAATACTTAGTGCCTAGCAGTAGGAGATGTCAGTATTGTTTTCGAAAGTACCCAGGCTTCCGACAACCACAGATGCTACCAATCTATTGCAGAGTGTTTGTTATGAAAAAATATGCCACATAGCAGTAATGGAGGGGTTGTACGCATTACGTAGTGCGTTAAAGCAAGCTTAACATTGAAAAGCCGGAAATCTGCTATCAGTGTGTAGTGTATGTTTGCTGTTTCGGCCACAAAAGGAAGCCGAAGGGTCATGATCAGGGAGTAAAAAGGTAACTAACTGTTATTAAGCTCACCTTTTTATAGACCATAATTCACCACTCGCAAATTTGTTATTTTTACAGTATGATGTCAACCGTTATATAATATGTTCACCTTTACGATGAAAAGTACTTGCAAATTCTCAACTTCATATTCGAATTAATTTGTGACAACTGTCTTCCAGTTTGAGTGCTTCGTACGCCCTAATAGACTAGATTCCTACATTATTCACAGTTCCAGTATAACTTTCTCACACAGTAAGTTCAAAGTAAACACTAGTCTTTCTAAATAAGCATGTTAAGCTAATATCCGTATTCTCTATTTCAGATGATCGATGAAGACATGTACCACGTGCATCTGTTGTATATTGTTATTTTACTCCAATTCTTACTGTTATATCTTCTGAAAAATAAAATTGCTATATGCAGCAAATACAGACTTATTGTTTTGATGGTGGTAGGGGGGTTCACTGGTTTTTTAGCAGGACTGTAGTAATATTCCCACTAAAGAGTTAAGTGAGTGCGTAGACCAATGTAAAGTACCATACAGGGTGCCTTTGAATTACTCGTGTTCCATTAGTGTCGGTAGAAGCATTACTTGCTTGTCATATGGCATTTGAATAAGAAGCTATGAGATTAGATGCAGGGACGGTTAGGATGTGTAACGCGTGTCCATCCATCAGTTTTCGTGGCAACTCACGGTGGCTAGAATAAGTTGTGAAAGGACCCGAGTCTGTAGGTTTCCCAAGAGAATGACGAAGATATGCACCAAATCACCTTATGAAGAACGCCTCCAATTACTTAACCTCTACCCATTAGAGTAAAGACGTCTTAGAGGTGACCTTCTAATGACTTACAGTATCTTTAACACTTCTGGGCATCCTCTTAAACACCTACTTAAACTTAGTATCAACACTAACCTAAGGGGTAACACCCAGAAACTGGAGACACAACATAGCAGAATGGACTGTAGACACAACTTCTACTCCTTATGAGTTGTCAAATGCTGGAATTCGCTGCTCGCCGAGCTAGACCATGCGACTTCTCATGAGTCCTTTAAGAGGCAACTAGATAGATTCTTAGGGATAAAATCATATTATGATTTACCAATTTCTTTTCCCTCTTTCATTGTTAATATACCTAGGTTCCTACCAGGAGGTTTTGGTAATCGCCTGCTACTAGACACGGAAGCCTGTTGAGCGAAAGCATCTACTCAGTCCACAACCATTTGAACACATGAACGAGGTGCTGAGAGGCTCGCTTATCACAAGTTTCTTGTAACGATTAAGTAGATAAAACAAAGTAGCCTTAGATTCAAAAATTTATTCAAGAACGTTCATTAAGAATCGAATATGAAACAAAGGTTGAAAACAAGTTCCAGTCTGAAAGTTGCATTTGTAATGTTAAGCTGCATTTTTTGTTGTTTTTTCCAAACGAAAGGGTAAAAGAAGTAGCTCAAAAAGTACTGGAAGTGGTTGTGAGATTAAAATGGACATCCAGCATCCTTTTTATAATCTGCTGTTAGTTGGGTCTCCCGTAAACAGATCCATAGAGCCATAGTTCTAAGGGCGAAACAGTTCTTAGGATCTGTGAAGGCTCACTCCTGTTGCATTCTGAATGAAAAAATAGTGATAAATTTAGTCGGAAATGTGGAATAAATAAATAAACAAATTACATGTTTTTTTAGCAAAGAATTTATGCAGTTGTGGTTTATCTTTAGTTCATGAATATTAGGTCAGGTCAGCTATTTATTGTGCAAAGCATAACATGGACTTAATACCGTATCTCAATGCTTTTATTATTTTGCTCTCATTTAAGTATTACCATCTATCTGCATCTAGTTTAACAGGGAGACATACAAGCAGATTTAGTGTTTGATGAACTAAGAGTCCCAGTTGTCAAAAAGATTCTTAACATTTGTCCACAGCCAACTGCATTTAATTGACACAGAACACTTATCTACTAACACTGTATACTGCTCTTCTGCGGGCAACTAAAAGCTCAGACGCTTAGCTATCTTGCTACCGATGTTATTGCTAAGGAAATTGTTTAATGACAGTGATCATGAAATACGGTCAGTGATAGATGTACAATCTAGAAATAAACACCAAACATACTTATCGCTTATAATGTATGACAGCAACAGTACCAAAAGTACTTTTTTCCAATTTTTAATCAAACTGATTTGAATCAGTATACTCATCAGAAACAGGCAACTCTACTTACTAGACTGATCAATTTCGTTACAGGCTTCAAGCACTATACTTAAGTATAGCATAATTCTTTCAACTAAACTGAATTATACGACAACCAAGAATACTAAACTAAGCAAGTGTCATAGTTATTGTTTCATTTGCACAGGCATATTGCTTAAAGTAGTTAAATGGACATAATTAAGACGATAAAACAAAAACACGAAATATAGGCCAATTGAACTTACCGAACAGAAGACAAAGAATATATATATTGCTTTCCGACTGAAAACAACAGGTAGTTGTTCATAAAAACATAGTTTATAGTACAATAAACCTTTCTACAGTAAAATCATGCACTGACAGTCTATCTGGAAACAATCAACTATGTGAATAAACTCACTATGACTTGAGATATCATCCCAGTATGCAATGAACGTGCAGTGTAACGCAGTCGAACGTGGCGAATAAAAATATGAAAAAAGATCAAAATTAACTATATAATCTAGTTATTTAATTAAAAATACATTATGAAATGTCAAAATCTGTGGTTACTTGAACGCACAGATGACCGGTACATTAAGTTTACATGGTTGCGTTGCGGATAAGATCACCCGTTCTGGGTGGTCCGAAATGGCTGCCATCTGTCTTCTGAATGAATGAATGCTTTGGGTGTCGGATGCGTGTCCAAAGAAACAGTTTTGATTTGAAATTTCTGAATGTTCATCGTGATGTCACGTTTTTGGAGTTGTTCGTTAAAACGGTTCAGATCCTGGAGTTGAAATTCTCTATCCTAACTCGCCACCAAGCAGTCACCAAAATGTACATTCAAGAGGTTGAGAACTCTGGCTTCAACATCGATGAATCTCTGAAACGTTTGTGTATTGCTTTTTAATCTGAATGTTATGTGCGAAAGCTTTGTAGAGCCTGACGTGTGGATAGCAGATTTCGTAATGTCACCTGAAGTCACAGTAATTTGGCCATACTCTTAGACAAGATCGATTTTCGATAAATCGACTGCGATTTCTGGGCTGGGTGTCAGGTCATGGATTTGTAGCATCGCGTAGCGATGGGAAGCGATTTTCGTATTAAGTCGCTGATAATCATTGGTTAGACACCAACCATCTGTCATTTTTAGGGACCATGCGCGTGCAGTTGAATTCGTTTTGGGCCAACTTCAGCTTATCGAGAGCTATTTGGCGAGTTTTCGAAAATACGGGTTATCCTGTAGTCGTAATGCGGTGTGTAATATTTTTGGCAACACAGAAATTTCAATCTTGTTGTATAAAGTTCAGGGTACTTATCATGTGTCTGTCGATCGATTGTATGTTCAATCATGTCTGGGCATAACCTACAACACAAACATATTATTTAGTATTTTCGTCTACTAATCTTCATTCGCTCGAGTTGGTGAGCAGAGTATGGTGTTGTAACACGTCTGTATCAACGACTAGAATAGAAACATCTGTCCCAATGAAACTACAGTGAAGAGGTTGGTGTAAATGATCGTTAAGATAATAATATATCTTACTGTGTGTAGCGGTCAATTTACCATTTGATTCTTGTAAGTTGAAGGCAGGATCTCGTAGTCGGTCGTGAGAGAAAGTTCGTCAATACATCAGTGATGTGTGACAGATGCTTGTTTCCACCTACCTCAGCTGCTGTTAACACACGCCTAATGGGAAATTCCCCGAACGTTTTGTCGTGATAAAAGGTTTGGGACTAGGGATACTTTATGGTTTATCGCAATTTATGGAAGACTTAGCGTTCTTATTGAGGTACAAAGCCGATCGGAATGATCTGTTTCTCG